TAGAACTTTCGTAGATGATTAATAGATATTGTATGGATCAACTGTAGACGTGTTATGCGGGATCTATAATAGAAGTCGTAGAGTCATAGAGTCTTAAGTAGAAAATTGACCAATCATAGTCTATTATTCTTCTCATGTTCGACTGTGATTGGTTAATTTTTATAATTGATTTACATTGTCTGGCTATTATATTAATTCTAAAAATTTAAATAGTTTCTATATGTATATATATATATATATATTGAAATATGATGTTTATATATATATAGTACATATATATAGTATTTTAACTTTTTTGTAGAATGTGTATATAAAGTCAGTTGAAAATATTAATTTAGTAATAAAATGTAAATATTAATCTATCTAATGGACATCCATCGTGGATTTTTAGTGGATATATCGTAAATCTCTAATGAACATTGTAGATCTCTAATGGGCATCTATGTGACTTTCACGTGGAGATAGATATCGCATGGAATTATAAAGAGTCATATAGACGTCTAATGATGGATGATGTGTTTTGTGTGGGTATGGATTTATCGACAAAGTCTGCTGACATGTTTTGCCAGCAGATTGCTGACAAAAACCGAGCAGAATCTGCTGATATAATTTGACAGCAAATTGCGAGTAAAAACCGAGCCTGTTGACATAATATGATGGCAGATGGGCAGCAAAATCCGAGTAAGATTTATCATTTTTATTTAAATCGATTTGGTTTCTTATAAGAAATTTTGCTTACATATACAGAGTGTTTCATTTTAAATGATATGGTCGATTATCTCGCTAATCGATGATTTTATTGAAAAACTTTTCGAAGTTGCGTGGCTTGAAGGGGGACACATTATGAACATGTGGACTTGACCTTGAGTAACCTTGTCAAAATCAGGTCAAGATTATTAATGTTTTTTAAAAAATTATTAATGGAAATCTCTATTTTTTTATTACATATTCTTATAATTTCTCTCGAGAACTTTCCAAAATACTATAATAAAGTTACTTTTCGTTAAGTACTTGTTAAGTTATAAGGCAAGACCGATCCGGCCGATTAAGACAAGATCGGGACTGATCCGGTCAATTAAGACAGGATCGATCATTGATCCGGCCAACTAAAGCAAGACCGATTACTGATCGGGTCAACTAAGACAAGACCGATCACTGATCTAGTCAAGACAAGACCGATCATCGATGGAAAGGATTGGACTCAATTCTGTGCGTGAACGTATGTCAAGCAGTGTGGATAGATCACGGAGACATGTACGCGTAAGAATCCCACTCACACACGCATGCGTACATGGATAACGCCGCCGGTACTGTAACTTTCCATAACTCGGAAATTATTCAATGAAACGTATTTATTGTAGTATTTTGGAAAGTTCTCAAGAATATGTAATAACAAATAGGGATTCTTATTAAAAAAAACATTAATGATCTTGACCTGATTTTGACAAGTCACTCAAGGTCAAATCCATATTTCCATCAAGTGTCCCTCTTCAAGCCAACTCTCTCAACATACAACTTTCGAAAATTTTTCAATAAAATCGATTCAAGAGATAATCGACCATATCACTTAAAATGAAATACCCTATATAAACGGTTGTATATACTTATATATTTATATATATTTGTGTGAAAATTGGAGACAATCAATATAGTTTTATTGCTCAAATATTATTGATTATTTATTGCTATAAATATATACTTCGCATTTCCAAAATACACATGAAAAAATTATAAAGTAGTCAAAAAAATATTGGAGATTCAGACAGAAAACACACTCCGAAAAAACTTGGGAATTTCTAGGAGATTTGCCTATTCGATTTACATACACTAATTCTTATAGGACTGCTGGACGATTTCTTCTTACGAAAAGTAAGTCCATCGCATGGCGAGTATATGAAAATGAGTCACTTTTTTTTTCGATGATTCTTGGAATACTTACAAATTTTCAGAGTGCGATACACCATCCATCAATGCGTATGACGAGCGGTTATGACAGCTGTCATACCAAATAGAAATATATAATACATGGTAAAATCAAGAAACATATTTTGTGCGTCGCAAAAAAATACCAATTGGATATCGCAAGATTAGCGTAAGTTAAAAAGAGTAAACCAATTAGATAAAAATTAACAAAAAGAAGAATATAAAACCACAGCACAAGATATTGTGATATTTAATATATAATTACGTTTATAAATAATTTAGACGTTTTGGCCACAATCTGACCGTCTTCAGTAAAATTACAAATATCCATAAAATACAGAATTTACATAAATTTAACATTAATTCAGCGATCATAAATATAAATATACATCAACGTATTTTTTCCTCTTGTAAGAGATTGCAAATTATGTAGAACAAGAATTGCCAGATTCTAATTTAATGCAATATGATAATTGACTCTGCAATCACATTTTACGATATACTCTTACAAGAGGAAAGAATGCGTTGATGTATATTTATATTTATGACTTCTGAATTTAATGTTAAATATATGTAAATTCTGTGTTTTATATTTGTTAGATATTTGTTAGATATTTGTAATTTTACTGAAGATGACCAGATTGCGGCCGAAAAGTCTAAATTATTTATAAATAGTAATTATATATTAAATATCACAAAGAATATCTTGTGCTATGTTAACATTAATTCAGCGATCATAAATATAAATATACATCAACGTATTTTTTCCTCTTGTAAGAGATTGCAAATTATGTAGAACAAGAATTGCCAGATTCTAATTTAATGCAATATGATAATTGACTCTGCAATCACATTTTACGATATACTCTTACAAGAGGAAAGAATGCGTTGATGTATATTTATATTTATGACTTCTGAATTTAATGTTAAATATATGTAAATTCTGTGTTTTATATTTGTTAGATATTTGTTAGATATTTGTAATTTTACTGAAGATGACCAGATTGCGGCCGAAAAGTCTAAATTATTTATAAATAGTAATTATATATTAAATATCACAAAGAATATCTTGTGCTATGATTTTATACTCTTCTTTTTGTTAATTTTTGATTTATAAACCACGTTTGTTCCAATTAGATAAATTTGTTTTGTAAATTTATTTACATCCTTTACGTGAGTAACATTAATAATTAATATAAGATTGCAAGTAATGAAATTATATATCATATAATAATTTTTCATACAAAATGTAACATTTTTAACAGGGATTCTGAATACATAATAGCATTTTTATTTTCAGGACATGTTTACGAATAATATGTAGAGACGATTACTTGGTAGCGATTCATCCTGACTTGCAGCTTTGTCATAAATCTTCCTGTTTTAAAATGCTATAAATCGCGTATAAATCACAAGCGTATTTATACTTAAATATATATTAATATAATAATTATAATTATAACAATATAAAAATATTATTGATTAGTATAAAGTACAGAATTAGGAAGATATAATTACTATATATAAGATTATAATTATTAACATTTTATTTGGTAAAGGTTGACAATAACGGAAACAGCTCCGATGACCTTGACCTTGACATATGTTGTCAAAGACTCTGAGTGATCTCCGACAGATTTTACTTAGCGGTCGCGCTTTGTTAAAAAGTTATTTAACAAAAAAGGTTTTAAAAGTAACTTTTTATTTCTGCTATACATATGTTACGTCCTACAGACGCCACGATTCTTTTCTTCGGCTGCACGTCGCGATTATGGTTGGCGTCTGCGAGCGAAGCCTTCTGATAACGGTCTGACAGAACTGAAAAGAGGGACCGGACAGGCTCCGCGAAAACTCGTAAACGCCAATCAACCCGGAAGAAATAACAACTTTAATGCAGGCTCGAAAAGAGACAAGATTGCAAAAGACATTATAAATGCACTGAAGTCACGCAATAGTAAAAATCTAAGCTTTGTCGTCCCAGACTGACCAATAATTTCACCTTAAGAAAACAGGCGCCCTGCCATTCCTTTCGGTCCATCCACACGATTTCCCGTATGAAAACAAACATATACACACATTTATACGCGTTTCTAACGAAACATATATACAGTTTATCCTTCGATTATAGTGCGCGCTAGTACGTCAATTAGAAAATGGGGACGAACCCCTTACTTCAGGAAGAGTAGGCGGAACCGTCCGCATAACCAAACTACAATTGTGCCGTCACAACCGATCGACGACTGCTATCTTGAGGTCTCATACTCGCCAGTCTCAGGTCAGACACAACGTCTCTAGACCTCACCTCTCCTATCATCGATCCCGCCATCCAAGAAATCTTGAATTATTCCCCTCCGCCTCTCGAGAAACGATTCCCCTCCTCCTCCTCTCGAGGGACGATTCCCTCTCCCTCCTTCTCTCGAAGAACGATTTCCTCTCCCTCCTTCTCTCGAAAAAGGATTTCCTCTCCCTCCTCCTTTAAACCAGCTCTCAATTCCTCCTTCTCAATCGGATCCCATGCCGATCGGCTATTTAGACTGTATTCATCCCCCTTCAATGAAGGAAATAGAATAGTTACAGTCTACATCCCAGGTAACCCCACTCCTTACACTGTCCTGTACAAGCACCTCTCGACGTACTCCTGCACCACTTTCCTCGCCTCCAATGCCCAATAACCTTTTCCTCTTCTCACACACACACACACACACACACACACACACACACACGCGCGCGCGCGCGCGCGCATGCACACCTCTATAACGTATTGAATATATGTATAAAGATAAAATTTCTTATTTTTATGTAAAAAAAAATTTATTATGTATAAATATTTTATATAACCTTATTCCTTTTTTTATTAGTAATAAATATAAGTTAGTATATTTACCTAGCTGCCATTTATTGGAATCACCTCTCGCATTCACTTTCCTTTAAACGCCTGAGATCGAGGTTCAGTCCCGGATCAAGGATTTCCTTGATCCAAAAAGTTTAGAGACGTTCGCACTGTCCCTCGGAATAGGTGTCATAGCGTCCCTTCGACGTTGACATATTCCGGGACCAAAAAGGTACGTGCGACTTACAGGTATTCGCCTCTATGCGTATACCTGTGAGATTGAGTCTAACCATCCTTCCATACTCTCTCTATTCTCCCTCCTTCACCGAATTCCTAAGGATTTGGACGTAACAGACCAATGAATTTTTGGGGGCTCTTCCGGGAGACAAGTGCGATCTTAGAAGACGAGAATGAATACGAGAAATTCTGGCAATAAATCTGAAGTAGAAGGCCTTTATAAACTGCCATAGAAAATCTGAATAAGTTAAAGTCGAGTACACAAAACACATTACACACTTCCACTCCTCTCAAATCCTTCGAATCTGAAGCGGCGGGTTTCTCTTTGAATGAATCAGAGATTTCAGATAATTCTAAAATTCTTGTGTTTGATGGTTCCGCCGACTCAGGGTACATAATCACTCAACCCGCGCGTGAATTCGGTGATATCACATCTGAAAATAAACCAACAATTGTGGCTATCCTTAAATCGAGGGGATCTAATGAAACCATAACACACCAAAATTTATTTGCTACCTTAAAATACGCTGTCGGAGCCGTATCCTTTTTCGACGGCAAAAACATTCCTTTAAACTATTTTATCAAAGAATGCGAGGAAGCAAAATCCATGTTACCGGATGAAGCTGAATCGCAATTTACAAAAATCATAATGACAAGAATTGTGAGTAAAGCGCGCCGCACTATACAAGATTAGGACTTTAAAAGTGTGGCACAATTAACCAAATATTTAAAACAAGTTTATGGAGCTTCAAAAAATATATATCAACTGCAAGGCGAGTTAGGCCGTATTTGTCAACAGAATGAGAAGGACGTAATCACATACGCGAATCAGGTAAAGATTTTAGGAAAACAAATAATGGAAGCCCATAAAATTTCAGGAAATGCCCTTTCCGATCAAAGTATTAAACTATCTTTAGAAAAAGACATGTAAGTGTTTTATTAGAGGATTAAAACTAGAAATTGAGCAAAGAATAACAAGGAATTTAGGCGTTCAAGAAACGCTGACGTGTTACAAATAAAAAGAGAACTTCATTCGATGACAGATTTACGACAGAATCAGGAAAGTACATCGAGTAAAGCACTGAATACGAACAAATTATGAAAAATCTGTCAGATTTGTTATAAAGAAGGACATTTAGCTTCAAACTGTAGAAAATTAACTAATTTTGGAACAGAGATTTTAATATGTCAAATCTGCAAGAAACGCGGACAAATGTCGACTTCGCGACTCTCAAGCACGACAATCCGTTAACATTCTACAGGGAAATAATTATAATATTATTTATCAAATAGTTCTAGATCAGGGCAAAAATTGTCGAACTGATAATAACAATAGTCAGAACAAATCTTCCGTAATCTGTCAGTATGATAAGCTAGGTCATTCGGCTAATAACTGTTGAAAAAAACAGAATAAGCAACACAACGCAGTTAATAAAGTAAAAATTTTCTGTCAAATCTGTAACAATTTTGGGCATAATGCTAAAAATTGTCGATCTAAGATAGGGCAAAACGCTGCATCCTCAGATTCATTATTCTGCCGGTATTCTAAAGGGCAAGGGCATCTCCTCAAAACTTGTGAATTGCAAGCAATAACCGAAGAAAGACAAACGAACAGGGAAACTCCAGCGGCCCCTCGAAATCAGACGTGGCACAGGGGAACGAGTCTCCGAACGAGTCTCGAAAAAGGGTCAGTAGGCAAAAACGCGTTAGAAATACGTCCCGTAACTGTGAACCTCGATAAGTATAGTCGCGTGTCTACCGTTCAGGTAAACTTCTGCGAGTCATCACCCGTAGCCACCGTTTTATGTTAGATATCGATTCCGGGCCAAACATAATCAAAGAAAATTTTGTACCTAAGAACAGTATTGTCAATTATAGTAATATTCTAAAATTAAATGGCATAAACGAATATTCCAAATTATGCTGGGAGAAATAAATTTACCCCTCTTTGAAGAAAAGATTACCTTTCATATTGTATCAAGTAATTTTCCAATCTTATAATCCGAAATATTAGGTAACGATTTCTTCAAATAGACTTCCTCGAAAATTGATTACGCGAAAGGATATTTAGATGAGTTAATATACCTTTCTTTTCACCAGAAACCATCACGATCGGAATCTTTATTTTATGTGAGAATAGGAAATCCGGAGAAAAATAGGATATGTACCAAAATTAAAAATAGCACATGGAATTTACCTAGGAGATACATTAGTAGAAACGTTTCTGGAAAAGCATATTAAACGTCATAAGCACGTTAGACGAAGAAGTTAAGGTACAAGTACCAACTTTGCGCCTCAAAAATGAATGAATTATTTGACAACGATACATTAAGCATTGAAATACGTGATAATCAAAACGAAATTGCAAATGCACAAAGTTGTCTTACCCATCTAGGGGATATCCAAATCCATTTCGAAGATTTTAGTAACGATACCAGTTCAAATAATGACGGAATTACGAACGGAGGCGTAGTCGTTATGACAGGAGACAAGAATAACAGAAAAATAAATGAAAATTTTGAGATATTTGATGAGAATAAATTAATGAGAGGAATTAAAACATCAAGAAAAAATTCTATTCCAAATATTCATCGAGGGGAATATTTCTATATCTCCTCCGAATTTGAAATCCTAAAATCTAAAATCCTTGGAGAGGGAAGTTACCAAACCTCTCCTGAAAATTTAAATAATTCAGAAAATTTTGGAAAGGAAAGTTACCAAACCCTTCCTAAAGAATTAAATAATTCTGGAATTGCAGAGGAAAGTTTCCATACTTCTCTGTTAAATTCTACTGTTGTCGATTGCAAGGAGGTAAATAATCAAATCTCGCTATGCAATGTGACTCAATTCTGTCAAAGGGAGCCAAAGGAAAAGAGCTCCACTCTAGAAAAAATTAAATTACCAAGGGTTGGAATTCCTGCAAAAAATTATAATCATTAAAATGATTCCTCTCATATTACTATCGATGAACTTCTAGAAAGAATGCAAGAATGTAAATAAATGTTCATAATTCGAAGGGAAATAAATCATCTTCAAAAATCCTAGCATATACACAAAATTAATCTCAAGAAATGATAGACAAATTCATGCGCAAACGTAAGTCAAAATACAAGAAAAAAACTGAACAGGAACGTCGAAACGAACCTACGAAAAATATTCCACGCGAATGCTTAGTTGTATCGGAAAAGATCGGAAAGGATAGACTCACAAAAATTACAAAACTATTGCATTTGGAGCATTTAATTTTCCAGGAAAAAACAAGTATAATTAAATTTATAATTGACAGCTAGGACAGATTTCACATCCCTGAAGAAAAATTGTCAGCAACGAATATATTACAACACCAAATATTTACAACGAATGATCGACCTATAAATACGCGACAATACAGATTCCCGCAAATTCATAAAGAAGAAATAAATAGACAGGTAGAAGAACTGTTAGAAGGAGGCATCGTAAAACCTCAGTCACCGTATAATAAGCCTATATGGATAGTTCCCAAAAAAGAGGACACAAAGGGAAACAAACGATGGAAAATGGTACTAGATTTCCGAGCCTTAAACGAAAAAACTGTCGGGGACGCATACCCATTACCTAACATTATCGACATTTTGGATCAATTAGGCGAAGCGCAATATTTCTCAGTATGCGACTTAGCATCAATTTCATCAAATAAAGATGGATCCTGCTGACAGTCATAAAACTGCATTTACAACTCCTTTCGGTCATTATGAATTTGGCCGAATGCCTTTCGGATTAAAAAATGCATTCGCTACTTTTCAACGATTAATGGATTTAGTATTATCAGGATTGCAAGGCGAAGAACTATTTTGTGTATATGAATGACATTATTATTTACGCTGCTTCATTAGAAGAACACGAAAGGAAGTATAATTTGTTGATAGAAAGATTACGCTTAAAGCGATTACGATTAAAGATGATTTAAAATTACAGCCTGACAAATGCGAATTCTTAAAAACCTAACCCGATCCGAAGAAATTAGAGGCTGTAAGGCAATTTCTAAGGCCTAAAACGCCAAAAAATATCAAACAATTTCTTGGATTAGCCGGATATTATCGAAGATTTATACCAAATGTTTCAAAATTAACCAAACCCATCACCAATTTGTTAAAAAATGATACTAAATTTGAATGGATAATAGATCAAGAAGACTCCTTCCAAGCAAAAGAGAAATTGTGCGAAGAACCTGTCTTATAATAACCTGACTTTTTTATATTAACTACTGATGCTTTCGGAATAGCGATTGGAGGCATCCTATCACAAGGAGAGATAAATAAAGATCAACCGATAGCATATGCTTCGCGAACTCTAACCGAAAACAAAATAAAATACAACACTTATGAGAAGGAAGCTTTAGTCATAGTGTATTGTATCAAGCATTTTAGACCTTATCTATATGGATGAAAATTTTAGTTACGGACCACAAACCTCTTCTCTGGTTTAAAAATGCACAGGATGCAAATATGCGAATACTACGATGGAGGTTAAAATTAGCTGAATACGATTACGATGTGGTATACAGAGCAAGTAAAACTAATGTAAACGCCGATGCATTATCAGGAAATCCGGTAGACCTTGAAGAAGTGATCTGCAATGTAATTAATCACCACAAACCTTAATCATCCAAAAGATGTAGAAATGATTTCTAAAATGCTAGAGGAATCAGATGAGGAGGACGAAGAGGACGAGGATTTTAAATTATATTTGACTGATGACGAACCACTTGAAGACTTATTACCAGACGATCACCCACCTGAAGAGGGTATGAATTCAACATCTCTTACACAAAAGGAGACAGAAGAGTTACAAGAGCTACGAGCTATGGAAAAGGCTACAACGCGCAATACTCCTCGAAATAATAAAATGCAGACTCGAAGCCAAACAGCAAAAAATAGGAATGCCCAGCAGGATAAGTTATCTAGAGACTTTCCACAACAAGAGAATGAAACGGAAAGAATAAAAGACAGAAATGACTCATTGGATAAAGAAGGCGATGCAGAAAGTGACAATAAAGAAGAAAATCAAGAAAAAGAAG